CACATTACCATTTATGGTAATAAAATCACGATGAAAGGCAAATGTCAGAATGCAACCCTGAGACAAAGTGATAGGGAAGAATTTTCTATCCACCAGGAAAATTAAAGCAGGGAAGAGATTTTTGGATCATATTGGCAACTAGAGATCAGTCTAAGGACCAAGTACTGCAGCAGACAGTTGCGTCACTTTCATTTTCCTTCCAACCTTCCAAAAATAACCTATACTCTGCAGTAAGTGGTAACTAATTATGTCTCCCATGATAATTATTTCAGAAATAATTAAACTTTTGTGAAAATTCACACACCATGTTACCAAAATTGCAAATGTGCCAACCAGTAAAAATATTAGGGATTGCTGCACCATTGTAGGAATGAGATTGCTACATGAATTGCTGCATGGATATCTTTTGTAACCTTATCTTAAATCAAATAGGTGGTGTAATCGACTACTATACTGTTAACTGTTCTCTGCAGTTTCTATCATAGCCTATTGTCTGGTCATTTAGCAACATAATGGGCAATATACAGCCAACTGTATATCATGGAATTTCCATCAGTGGCCACTAATAAGAGTTGCAATTCAACAACATAGGTGTGTCACATTTCATCCATCCTTGATCCAACAAGAAATACTAGGGAAGGAATCTGGATATTCTGCGTGTTCTTTACTACTGTTTACTCTTATTTTGAACTTCTTGAGGATAGAGTCAAGCACAAATAATGAAGCCTTTCCTTAATTAACCCTAACTATGAATGAGTTATGTTATCTACGAGAAAAAGATATTGTATAAAATAATTTGTTAATATAATTTAATAACTGCAAATTGCACAAATAATATTGCATTAATTTGATTCATAATTCAACACTAATTCACTTAATCCACTAATCTTTTAAACTAGCAAAATGCAACTTTTGGTAGGAATTAGGCTAATATATGGAATATTTCAATATATTCTTAATGGGCACAATGGGACAAAGGGAATGCTGCCAACTCACTTAGGTGACTTTTCTTATTTGTTTACATTTTGAATTATTTATTTAAAAATAATTATAGTACTTAGCACTTTATGGTTCTTACTGTGATGGAAATAGGCTTTCCAGGTGGGTCTAAATGATATCTCCACCCCAAGAACAGTTCTTTCTTAATTCGTTTGATGGCCTTCATAAGGAGGGAGGATACATCAGACCAGCTGGTAAAATAACAAGGAATGGGGATAATTGTTTCTCTGAATTAGTGTTATTATAGCTAATCCCTGAAGAATGAAGCTTTTTGTCCTTAAAACTGTCTATACAGTCTGTAGCTGTTCCTATTTGTCCATACAATGGTCTAATTCCTTTGAAAGATCTGCTAAGATCTCAGCTAGAGCATCAACTATATCCTATGGCAATGACTTTCAAACTTCCTGGATTAAGACCCTAAGTCCAGGATCTGTTGTTTCAGTCTTGCTAACGGTGGGCACATGATGGCACAAGGAGCAAAATTCTGAAGGATTCTTACAAAAGCACTGACTTTTCTGCATTCATGAAAAGTTGCTAAAAGCCAATTACAAAGAAAAGCTGGTTAAAAATGGAGGAGAAGGGCTTTTGACTGATTTATTATTTCCCAGGTAGGAACCTTTCATTAAAGTAATGCTATGTTAACCGTCTGCACTCAACTGTCAACAACAAGAGAAATCCCCCTCCTTTTCCGCCCAAGGGATGGGAGATTGCTTCCAAACCAACCAGTCACTCAGGTTTATTGGATAAGAAAATTAAATGCAGGAAAGAAAAATAAGGGAGGTAACAGCAAGGAAGATATTGCGAAAGGGAAATCTGGCTGGTTCACAGGAGTTCCTGAGCCAGACCCCTGAAGCTTCATCACTGACGCGAGATTTTGGCGGGTACCCACACTGGACAATCAATTCATACAACAGAATTGCTGAAAATAACATCTGGGGCCTGAATTCACCTATTGCTTTAACTATCAGGGTAGATGAAAATAGGTCTTGATTAAGTCCAGCTGGGCCTCCAGATTCCTTAGGATGTTAAACAAATGGTGCTCTTGCTAGTAATCTTCTTGGGGGAAAAGGGTTATGAGCATAAGCAGAAAAGATTAAGGAGACCAGGCTTCCTCTACTGTATATCTGATACAGATAATCCTCAACTTACAACCACAATTGGAACCAGAATTTCTGTTGCTAAGCAAGGTGGTTAATGAATTCACACCTGATTTTATGACCTTTCTGTCATGGCTGTTTAAGGGAATCACTACAGTTGAATCATGCAGTCCTTAAACAAATCTGGCTTCCCCCATTGACTTTGCTTGTTGGAAGCCAATTTGGAATGTCACAAATGGTGATGCCAGAATCCCAGGACTCTGCAACTATCATCAATATGTCAGTTGCCAAGCACCTGAATTTTGATCATGACCATGGAGATGATGCAACAGTCAGAAGTGTTGAGACCGGTCATAAATCTTTTTTCAGTGCCATTGTAACTTCGAATGGGCGCTAAACAAATGGCTGGAGGTGTAGGGCTACCTATACCAGGGGTCTGCAACCTTGACAACTTTAAGACTTGTGGACTTCAGCTCCCAGAATTCCTCAGCCAGCATAGCTGAAGTCCACAAGTCTTAAAGTTGTCAAGGTTGCAGACCCCTGACCTAAACTCCTTTCTACCTTAATATCATCTATAATGCACTTTGATTGAACCTGGGGTTGGAAAGCCAAAGCCCACAGCAGTGTGTAAAGCCCAGTGGTTCTCTGAGTCCTCTCCAATCACAACAGTTGAAAAATAGTTTCCTGTCACAAAAACTATGAAGCAAACCCTAAAAGACACTTTCCTTAGTCTTGCTCACTTCCTGTCATCTATTTTTGCTAAAAATGTTTTGACATCCATGGATTCTTTCAGAAAAAAGACATGGGATCATTTTATGCATGCACATATACATGTGCAAGATACTGTACTGGACACTTGTATTTTAAGTACTAAGTCTGGATTGTCTGCCTCAGGTGATCTTCCTTCAAATCGTATTTGGTTAGGTGAATGGAAAATAAAAATTTGAGTTTCTCAGGATTTGGTAGATAATAGTTTCCCTTTTCAAACTGCAGATTATCTATACATGGTCACTTTTCCCTGTGCATCTGAGGATGGAATAAGCCAGGATGGGTGGATGGAGAGACAACAGTATTTTTAGAACTATGAGCATGAGTGTTCCCTAGGAATACAATCTATGAGGAAATAAACATAAATAATGGAGATGTTATTCCAGTTGTTGCCTGAATTCCAACTATAATTGAATTGCTACAAGATATTTGGAAATTATAGTGTGAAGTCACTGATTAGGATTTATTCATTGTTTTGCAGAATTTAAATAATTAGATTGTTGCCATGGTTGGGTTGATATGCTGAAAACATGTACATCATGGAATCATACAAAGATACAACCTAGTACTTGTGTAATGCTTAGCACAAATACTTAACTCACTTCATTAACATAATGATATAAGGAGATCATGATGCATGTGTCATCATTTACCACTCCTTCCCTTCTTCTCCCTGCAGCTGCCATGAAGGGAATGCAGATCAGAGCTCAGTATCACTTGTGTCATCTTACAACACTATCTGCTTTTGGCTGCTGAGTCCATTTAGTTGTTTCAACAGCAATATTTTTGTAATCACATTCAATGTGATCTTCCCAATGTAAGTGGGCCATCTTCTAACTGAGTGTCAGCTTGTCTCAATTCCCTTTCAGGGCAATAAAGAAGTGTTGCTGTGGCTGTCCAGCAGCTCCTCCTCATTATGGAAAAGATTTAGGGGTTGTTTCCACCTTCTCTAATGACAAAGTGATCTGATACACCATGGGGACAATACAGTACCTCTTGCCAATAAGATTCACAATAGTCAAGGGGGAAAAGTGAGGACATTTAAAATGCAATGTCTTGTGCTTTCTGCCATCCTTTCTGGAGTTACATTTTCTTTTTCTGGTGACATATAGGTGGTTATTTATATTGGTGATAAATATCTGATTACATCCCCTGTTCTAGTTGCTGATTGATGCCTGCTCTGGCCCTTAAAAGCTGTTAAGCAACCACAATCTGAATGTATCCTTCCTGTACTTTTGTTAGGCACCAGTGAAGGCTCAGATACTGTAGATGTGCTTCAGAGATAACTGCAAATTTGAGATGGCTGACATCAATCCCATCTCTGGCTTCCCTTTCTTGACGGAATTTTTGTGAATGCTTATTTTTTTTTGGACTGTTCTTCTAGTGGCAATTTTTGGAAAAGGAGGGGGTCCAGGTGAAACAGTGTAGAGGTGCAGTCTCTTTTCCCATGTGAGAACAGATGCTTTGTTTGCAGAAAGTCCCTGTTCCTTTCCCAGTAGTAGGACTGGGAAAGACCCTGTCTGAAAGCAGAAGCACTGCTTTCAATCCTAACTGGGATCAACCCTCTGATTTATTGGAAGGAGCCCTAGGTCTGATCTACAGTGGCCGTTTCTAAATTAGTTGTCATTATTTGACACCAGGTGAGGGGGAAAAAACAGACACTTATCCAAATTGCAAATGTAGCAGCAGCGGTTCATCCTCACCATCATCCACTTGTCAGCAGCAGAGGCAGGGGCTTCAGAAACAAGCCCCCTGAAAATGAGACGAAATTGTCTTACTTGCAATTGGGTATCTGCGATTGAGACAGGGTTAACTTACCAAAGGAAGGGCTTTCTTCTTTTTCTTTTTTCCTCTCCAGAGCTCACCACTTCTGCCTGTACAGTAGTGGAGAAACCCGAGGCAGGAAAAACAGGTTCCAAGCAGGGAGTTGCCCCCGAAAATCCAGGGCGCCTGGGCCCGAAAGCGGAGCTAAATTCAAACCCGTCCCCAGTCCGGGCACAAAAGAATGGCTGCCTTTGTGCGCAGGCTGGGTCACGTCCCACCCTCGCAGGGTGCCTTTTGCAAGGTGCTGCTAATAGACAAATTACAGTTCCAGCCTGTCAAGGTAGATAAGAGACCATGTGATGCAGGCAACCCAGCAGTAGACGGGTGGCATCGCAGGGTAAAGGTGCGCTGCGAGGCGCAAGAGGAAGCCAGGAAGCGAGCGAACTAGCCAGCCAGCATCTCTTGCGAGTGGGGCTTTGAAGGGCCTCTTGTTGCTACTGGGAGCCTAGCAGAGTTCTCCCTGGAAAAAAAAAAAGCACTCAATCGATAGGAAAGATCAGCATCCGCCACGGTTCAAGCCCGGAGAGAGACCGCAAGCAGCATGTCCTTTAACCGAAAGAACTGGTCCGCGCTATCCAGGTGGGTATGAAGCAGCCTCTCCCTCCTCCTCTTCCTTCCCCGCTTCCCCGGCTCTGGAGGGAGACGGAGGGCGTCGAGGCGGGCACAGAAGCCTCCCCCAACTTTGTTTCTTGGTGCCAACTTTCTGGACTGCGAGCGCCTTTAGGACTGATTCTTGGCCAAGCGCGCTACGGCTGTTGGGAGTTGTAGTACTTTCTACCATTGGTCTATTCCAGACCCAGGAGAGAGAGAGCTTTTTACTACTCTCGGGAGAGGAAAAGTAAAACTTGAGGGTGCTTTAGCTTTTTTCCGGAGCTCCCGTGCGACTTCTTGAACGTGCCCATAGGCTGCGGTTGTCTCGGGGGGGGGGAGGGGGAGGGGGTTCCTTGAGGCTGGTTTGCGTGAACCCATTTGGGGATTGTTCTCCCCTCCCTGGAGCGGCAACTCCCTGTGGGAACAGACTGCTACGAACAGGGTAGGGTTGCAAAACGGAATGCATTAGCCGATTTAACATATATTGATCAATTAAGAAGCCGATACTATGTAATAGAGGAGCAGCTAGATTTCTTTAGAATATCTAGCTAGCCATTTCTTGCAAAATGTGGATCCCCGATGCTATCTCACTCATGGAGGGAGCATCTTCTTTAGGATGATGGATACGTTTCCACCAACCTCGTTTTAGAGCCTCTCCTCGAATATATCCACTGATTATTTACTGACTCAGCTAATAGTGCAATCTGTGCATTTGATTTCATTGAACTTTCATGCAACAGTTTTCTCCCTTCCAGATTTGGTGGAAACTGCAAGTGCCCAGATTTTGATAGCAGTTTCATTACATCTGGAGGTTACCAAGTTGAGAAGGCTAACCTAGATGTTGTTGTTTGGATTCTTGCTATATTTTGAAATACGTGAGGAGATACAGTACTTTTCTTCTATCATGGATCATTAGGCAATTATCACTCATCCTTATGGTAGGCTGAGCATGAGAACCAATGTGTTGACTAAAAAATACTGGGGGTTTGGGTTGCAATTTTGCAAGAATTAATGCATCTGTGATGGCTCATTCACACATATCTCATAGCGCATCATGTCAGAGATAGGAAGTGGTACTTATAGTATAGTGACTAGATCTTATCTAGGGTTATACAACAATTCCACTTGGCTCTATTTTAGAAATAGAAATTTAAATTTATGACAATATGGATGGATGCAGTGAGCAATCAAAGAGGTGTAAGCTGAACATGAAAGGAGAGGAGGCAATGGAAGCACAGTTCCTAGCTCCTCTTTGACAGCTGTTTGGGGATTGTCTTTCTTAGCTTGAAACTGGAGAACTCAGGCTCGGTAATACAAGTTGCCCAGGGCCACTTAAAGCATGTCTTCAGAGGAGGAGGCTTTTCCCCCCTGCCTCCTGCCTTCAGTAGGTTAGCATGGGAGAAGGTCTTTCCCTTAAAAGTTAATATGAGAAGATAATCCTTTGCTGGCATCATCCAGCAGTTTATGGATACAACAATACTTTGTAGTGTCCCAGCATTTCTGTCTCTTTGAGATGACATCCAAAGACCTTGAACAAACAGATCTTACTCCCAAGGAAAGCACCTTGCAGGGACTCTCCTGAGAGATCACATTCCAATCAAGTGCTGTTTGTAGTCTAATTTCACAATTTTTTTGAAGAATGAACTTGGAGGCACCATCCCTGAACCATACCACATTTATTTGACCCCACATTAATATTTGTTTTCCATGGAAGTTAACCAGTTGGTTCCATGATGAAATCAACTGCACACTTTGATTCTTGCTCTCCAAATGACCTGACTATAGATTTCCACATACTAAAAATATCTATATTCCCAGAGTTCTCCAGTAGCTCATACATGTTTTTATTTGGAGTTTGGGCTAATAATTGCTCATGGTTACAAATGCTAATTTCTGATGGTTGGTTTGCTCCCACCAGTGTCAGTGCCACTGTATGTTCTGTTTTAAAGATACAACAACTCATGATTAACATCTATTTTAAATCTACATTTTTAAACCAGCTATTGAGGAAATTCATACATTATTCTACTGTCATTATACTATAGTAATTAATGCTTGCAGTATTACTGGTTTGCATTTATTGGCACGTCAGGAAAATATATGCTATTATCATAGCTACAAGGATTGTGTAACTTCTGTTTACTTGTTATTTTTTCCTTCTTCCTTGACTACTGTCTTCCTTCAAAGACATTGTAAAGTATAATATTTATGAGGAAATACTTGATATATTTGGTATGGGACTCTGAATGTGATAGAATACAAATACAGCAGGATCTGTCTTGTTTGATATTCTAGACAACCTTAAATTGCCAATGAGATTCTTTCAGAATTGTTAGAAAAAGTTGGTAGATACAACATTAGTAGATACTTTGTTGTTGGATAAAAGCTATTTCTGTGCTGCAAAAAATAAAAACAAGCAACNAATATTCCAGGGGGTGCAAAAACTCGGGTTTTCAAAATTATAGTGTATATGCATAATTTGTTGCCGTTATTTCGAACTTTTTGTAAGGGGTACGAGAATATATCAGAAGTGTTCTAGGGGTGCGGGGTATAGGAAAGGTTGGGAATCACTGGAATAGAGTATATATTTCTAATTATTAGCTTGTTTGGAATGTGGAACTAGTATACTGATTCGGTCAAGATAAAGAATATTTGCCAACATTCGCTGATCTTTGTGAGAATTATTCTAGTCTTGCTTCTTAAGGTTCATTATTTGGGATTGGGGTAGGAGATAATGAAGTTTAACATTGTTTTTTAGTACTACTGTAATGCCATGTTCTCTCTATGCAGCATACATGATGATCACTTGTGTCAGAAGGAATCTCTAAATTTTTGTCAATGATTGTAGTCAAGGCAGGATTCCACTTTGTTGGTTGCCCTTTCAAATTTTAAAATGTGCTATTTTAAAATAAGCATTATATTAAATGTACATTTCTCTGTATTTTTACTTTCCCCCCATTTTGATTAAACAGTAAAAGAATTCATTAAATTTCTGAAAAGAGTTAATTACTTCTGCCATTACCCCCATCCTCCAAAATCCCTTAATACAGAGATCAGTTTCATATAATTAACTACTAGACTGTAAGCAGAGGAACTGATTTGCAAGCAAAATTCAATTGTGTTTTGATGAAGTCAACATTACAGTAATGTTAGTTAATAAGGATTAATATAATTTATTGAATGGCAGAATATTTTGCTAGTTTGGAATAGATCTGAAATGAATAATTGTGACTAAAGTATACATAAAATATTAAACATTTTCTTCAAGTATCTTAGCCTATTTGCATGTTCTGGTTTCCTAAATCTGCTAATATATCTCTACCATCCATGTCTATCTAGATATCATTGTTGAACTATTGAACTGGAGGTTGCTGTAGTGATTTCTCCTTTATTCTCTTTTGGAAACCATGAAAGCATTAATCATCTTCCTGTCAAAATAAGTATTTCCCCAAAGTTGAGCTTATCTTCTGTAACTATATGGGCATAAACATGTAGATTTTGTTAACAATAACATGGACAATAACATGATTTGCTACTGCCTTCTGAGATTGTCTTCAACTTGTCTCTAGCTTATTTATGCCTGGTATCTCCTGGTGATCTCCCATCCAAATAGGTCCAGATCTAATTCTGTTAAAATATTGGGGGATCAGCCAAAAACTTCTAGACATTGTTACCTGCTTCCTATTATTCGTTTCTTCTGGTCATTCATCTTTTTATACATACTTCTGTTTTAAAATTGTATTAAGGATTGAAATTGATATTACAATATTAAAGTTACTGTCTCATGATATTTCTTGCCAGAACGTTGCCTTCCCTGGAATTCCAACACTTCTTGTTCCTTGATGATTAAATGTAAAGGAATGACATAATATATAACCCTCTGGAATTTCAATTAAGAAATGGCTTAGACTACCCCTATTTTCCAGGAACTGTAGGGCTGGTATTATCTGCATACAGGGTAGGGCAGTCTTTTTTAAACGGATTGTCTTGCTGCTGGATAGAAATTCTTGGAGTTGTATCAGGATAAAATTGGTTTAGTCTGATGTATGCAATAAAGTGATATGCAAGCTAGTCTGTAGCCTTATCTTTAGCAAAAGATGATGTTGGCAGAGAAATACTACTTTTCTATGCAACTATTATTTATATTTCTATTGTGTATGTTAGAAAGGGAGTGAAGGCATAAAAGAAAGACAAGTTAAAGTCTGTGAGGAAAAGCTGTTTAATGCAAGAAGAAGGAGAATTTTCAGGTATCATGGTTTGTGATTCAGTAACTTATCAGAGTTATAGAAATAATATTGTAGAACTTAATGAAGACTCAGTGAATGAACAGACCAGAGAGCAGCAAGAGTTCTAAAACTTTCCATCGTTACACAGTGTCTGGCTGCCTAGTTGCACATGATTGGGCCACAGGCTTCCCTACTATGTATTCTCTCAATATTTAAGATTCTATCTGTATTTATGTACTAGCTTATGCAAAACTGTATCTTCAGCCATCTTTTCTGGAGATACATTTCCTCTTTTTGATAACATAGGAATAGCCATCATTTATACTGTTGTATTTTTCTTTTAATGAATTGGTTTTTATTTAAAAGTTGCCCAGAGTTATTTCAAATGGCATGTAAATTAAATGAGCAAATGAATGAACAAAATATTTTATCACATTCCCCACTCTGATTGTTGATTGAACCCTGTTCTGATCCTTAAAAATTTGAATGAATCCCTCTCAATTTTGCCAGGAACTGGTGAAGGCTTGGAGCTAGGTGTGCTTTAGAAATAATTGCACATTTTAGATGGCTGACATCTTTTGCCATTAGTAGTCTTCCTCCTTGATGGAAATCCGCATTTTGTGGAGTCAGTCTCTTGAACGGTTCTTCTGGTTGCAATTTGTGGAAATACCTTAGGCAAGGTGACAAGGCAAGGTATGTAAGAAAACGGGCAACAAAACCAAAAGACTAGCCTCTTTTGGCCTCTCCTAAAATGCCAGATGC